TTCATAATGTTCTATTAAACTCTACTTTGTCCGTGCATCATCATTATTGTGACGCGTTCATTTAAGACTTGGCTATTATGGGTTGTTGTTGATCTATTGCAGCAAAGTCAATAAAGCTATCATGGTGACGAAACAAGATGACCACAATGCAGCTCTTCAGGGACTCAATCGCCCCTAACCCTGCCAAGGATCGTCCCCTCAACGATGACGACTTATGAATGTTTACGATTTGCGTTAACAACCCACAATTTATCCCCACATAGGAACACCAGGTGCTGTGTGATCTCGGAGGTTGAGAGGCGGACGGCAGATGGCAGTACAGCGATGGATTATTGAATGCATCTGTACGGAGCACTGATAATGTACCGCCTCGGATGCATTGCCGTCTCCTCCTCCTCCACACACACGCGAGACGCAACCCGCTTCCTTCATGGTTTTGGCCAAACATCCAAAATGCATCAGGGCCCTCCTGATTAAAGATTACCGAGGCCTCGTGGAAGATTTGCCTGTGCGCATCATTGGCATTAGGTCGTCTGGCTCGTTGATGATGCTTATCACTTGACTGTCCCCCCCCACCCCATCTCTCCCCCCACCCCATCTCTCCCCACCACCCTCAGCCCAACCCGTTCCGTCTCCCCGCTGCGTGGCGCCCGTCTCCCAGTGGGGACTCAACACCCCATCCCCTCGGCCCCCACACTCGGGCCCCTCCGTCTCTCCCACGGCCCAGGCTCTGAGCTGGCGGTGTCGGGAGGGGGGGGAATACGGGGTGGGTGGGGTGGGAGGGGGGAGTGTTGGAAGGTTCCTCGGCTCCTTCAAAGTGGGGAGGGCGGGGGGCTATTTGCTTAACATTACGCGGCCATTAGGCGGAGAATGCGCGGAGGAGAGTTTGACTCTTCACGCTGTGCCCCGCGGGCCTAATGATGCCGCCCCCCTCCCCGCCAACTCCTCCCCGCCAACTGTAATCGGGACTCAAGGACTTGGAGCGTCGCGCACTCCCACGAACACCCCTTCTCCTCCTCCCTCCTCCTCCTCCATACGCAGCCCAAACAAAGACAAAGATCCCCCGTACAGGCTGTTGGGACAAGTGGCGTTAGCCAGTAGCACCTATGAAGGTCGGCACGGCAACACGATGGGGTGGGTGGCCAACGCCACACCCGGCCGCCTTTGTCTCCCCAGTGGCGATGTTATTACGCACCGCACTTGGTAATTATTTTAGGCTGAGTCGACCTAGGGGAGGCCCAGGACTCGGGTCGCCAGGTTCGTAGCGCAGCGCGCTAACCGCTACACTACCGCTCTCCACACACACGCACATCGCCCAACAAATATACTCGGCTACGGCTCACATCAGTGGCGAGTTTTATATGAACCGATCCCAGGCCATCTCCCCAGTACACCAACCCGTACTGACCAGCGTGGGGAAGTATGGTCAAGTAATCCCCAACAAACCGGACTGCAGTGGCGAGGTCTTCAACAGAGAAGGCTTTAAACTCATGTTAATTTTTCGATTTAAAGCTTTTGTGACTGCAAGGATTCATCTTCTTTGGTTTTTTCGGTAAAGTCACGTAGAATGAGAATAAAATAATAAATTGATAAAATAAAATAACACAATAATATTCTCACGACGTTTCGGCCACAACACAAGCGGCCTTCATCAGGTCCTTTCACCTGATGAAGGCCGCTTGTGTTATGGCCGAAACGTCGTGAGAATATTATTGTGTTATTTTATTTTATCAATTTATTATTTTATTCTCATGTTAATTTGTTTTAATTATTCTACAATGACACTGTTGTTTTTAAACATAACTACTGATCGATACAGTTCCCCTTAAAACGTGCTGACACACCTCCACCTATTTGTATCGTGAGCATAATCATCTATATTCGATGTATATGGGCGCCACGCTGGCGAGATGTTAACCAAGGCCGTAGCCATGGAGTCAACCTTGGGGGGTACCAAACCTTACAGGGGGTCTGGGGGTCCCGTCCCCCCCCCCTCCCCAGAAAAAATCTAAACTAATTTCCTACCATTTCCTGCCTAAAATATAAAAAATTTCACTGACACATAGGATGGACTTTCTTTTTTACAATAATATCTAATAGTTGTCTAATACATTGCTGTTTGTCTTTTTTTACCTTTTCTTGTTGCATTGCATGTAATGGCAGAGAGGTTAGGTATTCATAAAGTACAAACATAACCACAATCATATAAACATAAATCTATTTCATAGCAATATATTGCTATATATTATAAATTACGGCATTGATGTTAACTACCTCGCCTGGTATGCTTGGAGGTTGTGGGTTCGATCGCGACCCTGACGCCTGCTGTATATTTGGAGTTTGCGTGTCTCTCCGCGTGGTCGCGTGGATTTTTCTCTGGGTTCTCCGCTTTTTTTCTCCCTCCACATGTAGAATCGACATCACGCGTTTAGAGTATTTGGCTGATTTTAATGTCCACTCGATAAGCCACTTTGATGCGCTATCAATTGTGGCCAGGTCGCGTCTGAAAAAAGTGCGATATAGCTCAGTGGGGGCTTACCTGGTAAAATAAAAAAATGAATCGGTGAAATTCTGCTTCCCATGCCCAATTTACAAAATCAAATAAATTATTAATTCTCCAAGGCGGAGGGAGGTGGGCCAAGGAGGGGGGAAGCCCCAGGACAGTGGAGTGGTGAGGTAGCGGGGCGTAAGGGGGAAGAGGTAAGTTCTCAAAACTCCTCTCGATCACCTCCGGTTTTCTTCCCCATCAACCCCAACTCTAACCACCGCCCATCCCCTTACTGCCCCCCTCCCCCACCACCCCCCCCCCCAACAGGCCGTCTTTCTTCGCCCGAGGTTAAGAGGCTGCTGCTGCTGCTTTATGGGAGTCATTGGGTTTATGTCTCCTCTCCATGAACATGAAAGGAGAGAGGCGCTCTCCTATTAAGCGAGCCGGGACAATGGTGTGTTAAACGCTCGCAGCAAATAGGCGGCAGTGTCATCGTCTATAACAATACTTTGCTACCTCTTTGGCAATCCACTGCTGGATGAAAGGCCCCTTTCTCTCTCTCTCTTTCTCTGCCGACGCGGGTGTTGTGCGGCCACACATCACTACCGCTGGTTTAGTGCGGGTTCCTGCTGAAATGTGTATCGGTAGATCCAGGACCGATTCAATATTCATTTGCCCACTAATGCTAGCCGTGGCCCGGAATTGAACTCGGGTAAGCCGGATTCATTGCGCCGTGCGATAATCACTGTGCCATCGCTCGTGCACGACGTTACATAAACCACTCGTGTACGTTTGTAAAAAAAAAGCAGAGCTTTTAAAACTCGCCAACAAATGAACTAGAACAATCCACGTCGTCTCTTTTTGAGAGATGGTTAAATTCACTGACGTTTAATCTGCCTTGAGCTGTGATGATTGTCGTCTGCAGCGGTGATGTCGCGACTTTCTCAAGCACGCAGCCCTGGGAATCGCACCTGTGACAATGGACAATGCGTGGCGAGTGGGCGGTGAGTGTGACAATGGGTGGGTGAGTGTGTGTGATTGGGTGGGTGAGTTTATCAGTGGGCGGGTGAGTGAGTGACTGGGTGAGTGTGTCAGTGGGTGGGTGAGTGTGTGTGATTCAGTGGGTGAGTATATCAGTGGGCGGGTGAGTGAGTGACTGGGTGAGTGTGTCAGTGGGTGGGTGAGTGTGTGACTGGGTCAGTAAGTATGTGGATTTCTGAGTGAGTGGGCAAATTTGCGAATGACTGCGTCAGTGGGTATATGGGTGACTGAGTGGGTGTAGGTATGGGTGAGCGGGTGAGCGATTGGGTGGATGTGAGTGGGTATGTTCGTAAGTGCGTCAATTGGTGAATGAGTGTGTGAGTGTGTGTTTAAGTGAGTGGATGATTCAATGGAATTGTACAGCTATAGCGGCTGCATGAAAGTGGTCACGGAAAAAATAACTTGCCCAACTGTGTTTCAATTAACGAGCGCTAACCACGAGGCAATTGCATGTATTTAGGTAGGTAGATATGTGGCACAGTGGATATCACATTGTGATATTTTAACCGTTCCTGGGTCATATCCCCCCGTTCACCAACCCGCACTGACCAGCATGTTGAAGTGTGGTAAAACAACGCCCCAAATGATCGAGACAGACCTTCATCCAGCAGTGGATTGACAAAGGACTTTTACACGTGTTATGTGATGTATGAACCGTACTGAGATGCCTTTGGCACATCCCAACACAGATCTGACGGGGCAAGTGCTGTTGGCGAGCACCTTTGAAGGCCGACACTGCACACGAGGGAGTGTGTGGCCAACACCACGCCCGGCCGCCTTTGTCTCCCCAGTGGCGATGTTTACACACCGCACGAGGTACTCGTCTGAAGGCCGCGTAAACCTAGGGGAGGCCCAGTACCGGTTCAGATAATCGTCACCGATGTTGTCCATCAGCGGGGATCAAACTCGGGTCGCCCGCTTCGAAGCGCAGTGTGCTAATCAGTACACCACCGCTCCCTACGATTATGAATATACGCACGCGCGCAGCTATAACCGCACAAACGCAGATGCACGCACATACGTAGAGCACACGCACACACACACACGGCTGCATACACACGTCCATACAAAGAGACAGATTCCCCCGTATAGCCTTAGCAGACTGTTGGCCCAAGTGCTGTTAGCGAGCACGCGCACACACGCACGCGCGCGCACACGTGCGCACACGCAAGCACGCGCGCTCCCAACACCGCGAGTGGCCGCGAGTCCCGTGCCTGGGAGATTGTTTACGGCTCGTGTTGACAGCCCTCACATTTCACACGTCTACCGAGTCGCGAGTTCCTCCGCGAAGAGGAAGGGAGTGGCGGAGAGAGGAGGGGAGGGAAGGATGAACGAAGGGGGTTGTGGAGAGGGAGGTGGGGGGTGGGGGAGGGGAGGGGTGGAGGACGTACGGAGGGAGTGAAGGAATGGTGGGGGGGGGTTGTGAAGGGAGGGGATGAAACGGAGGTGATTGAGGAAATCGTGGATTCGGGGAGGGAGGGAAGGAAGGAAGGAGGGAAGGCAGATGGACGTTAGTAAGAGATGGAATGAATGGAGAAGATGGAGTGAATGAGGGAGAGAGGGAGGGTAGAGGGGATGGAGGGAAGGTGTATATGTCGGTTATGGACGAGAAGGAGTTAATGGAGAGGTTGGAGGGAAGGATTGAGTGAATGAGGGAGAGAAGGATGAATTAAGGGATGGAGGGGGAGGGAGGACCCCCACTACCCCGCCCCCCACAGACGCGGCGGCGCCACAACTTCGCGGCGTCGCCGCTCGGAAGTCGCTCGCTCCCAGAGTCGCTCAAATCGCCGTGCCAGACATCGGCGAGTGCCCTTTGATCCCTTGGGGCCAAATGACTTCATAATTAACCGCCCACCGCAAACAGCCCGGGCTGTCCGCGACCCCCCTTATAAGGTCCGCCGCCTCCCCAGCCGGGTCCCAGCAGACAGCAGCGCGCACCACAGTACCATGAAGAAGAGCATGTTCTCCTCGGTGGAGTGGCTGGCGGGCCTCAGCTGTGGAGAGAAGGAGCGGGGAGCGGTGCAGATGACGGTGGCTGGGGAGCTGTCGCCATCCGCTTCCTTCTTGTCATCACCATCACCGTCGTCATCGTCGTCATCGTCGTCATACTATTCCTTGTCATCATCATCTTCGTCGTCGTCGTCGTCGTCGTCATCATTCTTCATCTCGTCGCAGTCATCGTTGGACGAACAGCGGCGCGCAGGATCGACCTCGCCTGACTTTCGTCCCAACTCGTGCCCCAGCAGCCCAGGTGAGATGGACAACTCGCGCGTGTAGATCATCGTCATTCACTCATTGCTCACGTTGTCTCAAGGATGGTCGGTGGCAATTGCTGAACCTACTTGGATGACATTCAAGGCGGGACCGCACTGAGCTATGGGTCTCTGTCGGGTTCTCACCTCCCCGAGTCTCAAGACATATTTGAAGGAGGGTCCTGAATTGTTTCACCAACTTTCAGTTTTACTTGGACATTCTTTTTTTACATTTAAGAGTTTTGATTCGTGTGGGATTTAAAGCCGAGTAGCCCGGAAGAAAACAACCACCACCACGCTTACAAAAATATCAGCTGTTACAGACGGATTCACGAATTCCCCTGGCTATAACGCCATCTCACAAACAGCTGTAAATCATTGTTTCATACGCTACGACCAAACACAATAAATATTAATATATTTAAGAACAGCCTATTTTCACCAAATTGCAAACCATCAATCAACTCTCGTGATTAAACCGGTTCACCTACACGACTCTCTGCAACCCATCCAGCATCATCACAATTGATGATTGATCATCACAATTCATGGTGCTGGGCGCAATCTCCAGCCAAACGTGGAATTGCATTGCCATCGTGTTGCTAGATTTTCAACGCAACCGGTTTCGCTGAAAGTCGCGACCAGTCGGTACATTTGCCCACGTGACGACTTGCCTTGTTTGTTTTGCGTCGGATGGTGGAGGGCGGATGGTTCGTCATTTGACATGACGCCTACGCACGATCGAACGCAAACAGAAACGCAATCATGAGTGAACCGCTGAGGAGTCTCGTGTCAAGTTGACGAGTCATTTTACCCGGTATCAGGAGCTGCACTCGCGCACGTGAGTGGCGAGTCCGCGTCTCGCGCGCCAACGTGGATTTGTCGCGACTCCCAACTTCATCTCCATCTCCACCCTCCCTTCCCGCAGCAGGTTCCCAGCACTCGAGCAGAAGCAGTAGCCCCGCGCCCTGCAGCAGCGGCAGTAGCCCCGCAGCAACAGCAGCAGCTACAAGCGTTGGCGTCACGGATGAGGAGGAGGCGGAGGCGGAGGAGGAGGAGGGAGACGCGCCGCGCCACGGACCGCGCCGCGCCGCCGGCTTCTGCCGCCGCGCGCGCACCGCGTTCAGCACCGCGCAGCTCGCGGAGCTCGAGAGCAGCTTCCGCCGCAGGAGATATCTCAGCGTGGCGGAGCGCGGGGAGCTGGGCCGCCAGCTCGGCATGAGCGACCTGCAGGTGAGGAGGCGGGCACACGTCGTCATGGTCATCGTCACGACTTCGTGCAGTCCACGTGGTAGCAGCACGTTAGCAGTGGATCATCTCTGCACGATGAGTCATCATCGTGCAGAGATGAGTCACCATCGTGCCGCCCACACCGGGCGGGTTGCGGACAGATGGACAGGGCAAAATGCGTGTCTCCAACTTTAATTGGAAAGCGAGACTGTATATGGAATGTACACACGGTCTCCACTGTTGTGCCGTTCGTGGGGGTATTTTGACCATACTTCACCACGCCGCTGGTCAGTACGATTTGGTGAAAGGAGAGTACCAAGAATCGGAAGGGATATTACTCTCCAATATGTGAGCCGTGGTCAGGAATCAAACTCAGGTTGCCGAATTCGGAGCGCAGTGCGCTCGCTCACCACTGCCCCACCACTGCCCCCCTCCCACCATCAATACACAACAATTAAACAACACAAATAATATTTAGCATTGTGGCAGTGACCCTGAAGACAATAATCTAATGATGTGCCCCCCCCCGCCCCCCTGCAGGTGAAGACCTGGTTCCAGAACCGCCGCATGAAGCAGAAGCGCGAGGAGTTGGGGGCGCGGGGTGGGGGCGCGTTCCCCCACGTCCCCGCCCCCCCGCTGTTCCCCCTCGCCCCGCCCCTCGCCTCGTGGTTGACGCCCCTAGGGGCTCTGACCCCGCCCCTCTCAGCACCCCCCGCGTTCGCAGCCCCACCCTGCTGCCCGTACCTGCTCCTCTACTAGGAGCCCGGACTCGGACCAAAGTGCCGGGGTCAAAAGGGCAGCAACGGGAGCAGAACCCAAAATCGGACAGCGCTGCTGCTCCTGCTGCTGCCCTCTGTGGTGCGATATACGGAGATGGGGGGGGTGAAGGGATACGCGGAGGGAGATGGAGGAAGAGAGGCAACGAAAGGTTGAGTGGGACATTGAGGGAGATAGGGGAGAGTTATTGACCCACCAGCCCTAACCATGACCCTGGCTAGCCCCTGCTCCGCTGGCGGCGTCTGTGTGTCTGGAGACGGAGTTCGCTGCTTCGGGTCGCACGCCGCTCCACGGGCATCGCGCGTGGTGCGTCAAAGCGTGGGTAATTCCCCGGCTCTTCCAAGAACGTCTGGCCAGCGTGGAAGAGTAGGCCAAACACGCCCTGTGGCTCCACGTTGGTGGAAACCTTATCTGCCAGCAGGAGTGTGAGCGGGCCATTACTGGGCTGCACCTTAATATTAATTACGTGTCTTTGGATGTACTTGGCGTGATGGAAGGAGGTTTGTGTTACAATAATTACGGAAATCGTGCAATATCGGCGAGGTTTTTCTTTCGTATGGCTGCTAATGTAGATGCAGAGCTACTGACTGGAATTTCACATTCAGGTGGTCAAGCCAGACAACCGCGTCAGGAGTAAACGGAATGTAATCGCTGTGATGTCCCCGCCGTAACTGTGGATCGGGGCATTGCGTTGTACGGTCTGTTCTGGATGACCACAGTCGCACACTACTGGAGAGTTTTTTTTTTAATTGCACATTTGTGCATCAGGTATCCGCATCTGCTGCTGCCATGCTTTGTGCAGTGGGTGATGCGGTTTAGGGGGAGGACCATGGGGCTTCGTGGAAGATCAAACCGCGTCAGGAGCCAGCGGAGTGTATATCGCTGTGATTTCCCCTTCGTATTTGTGGATCGGGGGCATTGCGTTGTTATACGTTGTTAGGGTCCCGTTCTGGATGACCACAGTCGGCGAAGTTTGAACCCCCCCCCGCCCCCCACGTCGCTCTCTCAATCGGTTAATTGTCTATCGACGGGGTCACGCAGTGACCTCTTTCAACGTGGTGGGATCTGGCGAGGTCAGACTGTGGGCCCCCTTCCTTTCTCCCGACTCACTTTCACTGAAATAGCCACGGATGTGTTTAAACCCGTACACAAAAAACAATGTGTAGGCTACAACTGTTTACTGTCATTATATTAGTTTTCGTTGCGTCGTGTATTGGGTTTTAAGGAAGACCGTTCCACAGTGACGGTATTAATAAATACAAATGTCAAGGTTACAATACTCACAATTAAGTTATCATGCGTCTTGCTTTAATACCGCCCCCAAAGGGGGGGGGGGGGGGGTCGCTCAACTTGATGCTCCTCTGTTGATACGATAGCCAGATGCGTTCATCCGTTAATCGGGCTTGGTGCACGGTAGACCACAGGTTAATTTTAACGAGTGAATGTTTTAAAATTATTTTCTTAACATGTTGTTACTTGTTTAGCTGTTGATTCAGGGCGCCCGTGTGGCTGACTTGGCCCCTGTGCGTCGCATCACGTTGCGTTACCCCCCCCCCATATTTGCCTATCGACGTCTCGCAACAGTATTCTGTGTTTACATTTGTTTCGTTTGTTCTGTTCCCATTGTTTACGTTTTTGTTTGTAAATTTTAATGCACGGGTCGCCTCCAACCCCACGTGAATTTTCCTGTTTGGTAATTATTATAATTGTTAATTTCTCCATTGGGTTTTTTGGGTTTTTTTTTAATATATATACAACAGAATTGGATTTTGTTTCGTGAAAACTGATGTTGAAACCTGCTTTTGGCGAACTTTGTTTCAATATTCTGGGCTGTGACTTTTTATACACGACCCACGCTCCCTCTCCACCACGGTTTGATTTGTCACGCGCGGTAAATATTGTGTGCGGGTTGAACGCGAAGTTTGAATCTCGCTGCATGCGCGTGCATAAATATGTCTTTATCGGGACGGAGAAACGGGTGAAACGAACAGCAGACTTCACGAGAGAGCCTGCATATTTATTTTACACGTGGTTTACAATTTAATCAAGACTCGGCCTTGGGCCCTCCCCTAGGTCGACTGAGCCTCAAAATTTGTACCTGGTGCGATATGTAAATATCGCAACTGAGGAGGCAAAGGCGGTCGGGCGTGGTGCTGACCACCCACCACCAGGTGCTCACGAACAGCACTTGCCCCAAAAATCTGCAAGGCTGTACGGGAGAGCTTTGTCTTTAAATATATGTGCAGGGTGGCCCAAAGAAAAGGCTCATGAGGTTATTTTATTCATATTAACCCTGGCAGTTAAACATTTTCATTGCTTATCTTTTAAGTTAATATTGTATCTATTATTAATATATCGTTATTCTTCCTGTGAGATTACCACAAATCCGTCCTTTACATAACTCGAACCAAGAACCCTGAATGAATTGAGCGAAACATGATTCATTTTCAAACATTACACCTGTGATATTTTTGTTAAAGTCCTACATTCGTTTGAAAAGAGAATTCATGCACGCATTCATGATGACGGAGGTCACTTTGAGGATGTGTTAAAATAAATGAAATAACCCTACCTGTCCTGACGCCACCCTCTATATATCGTCAGTTAATTAAGACCGGTGTATACTTGTGATGCGATTACGATGTCCGGCTTGTATATGAACGATCCTGAAATCAACCCTAAATTCGCAAGACTTTGCTTTTCATTTATTCGGATGTATAATGCGCTATTAAGAAGGGCCAATTGCCAGAAACTTCGCCTACTATACAATATATATGCCCTATCTCTTTTAAGACCGCATTGTTCTTGACGAATGTGTTTCATTTTTGGGACATTTTGACGACATGTAAAAGATCCGGAAATAAAACAATATATAAACATCTGAATTTGTCCATAAAAACCCAGAATCCGAAATATTTCATCTCGAGACCCATTATTGGCGTATATACTTACACGGAGGGCAGCGGCTCACACACGGCGCTATGAACTGGTCGGCCCGAGTTCGATTACAGACCACGGCTAAGATCAGCGGTGATTGATATCTGAACTGGTTCAGGGTTCCCCTGCGTTTCACTTCAGTTTAGTTTAAAATTAAAATTAAAATAGTTTTTTTAGTTTAAAACCGCATTATCCCTGCAGCGTGGCGGAGATTCGTCTAGCAGTAGATTGGCAATATGTGCTCTCTATGTTATAACAATTAATGTTATCTATATATATAAAAGGGAAATTTGTGAATATGTGTGTCTGTTCGAAATGTTTAGCATACTTCCCAACATGCAACAAACTTGAAATTTGGCATGTGGGTAGCTTCCAGATTGTACACAATGCAAAACGTATAAAAATAGACTTTTGTATTTTGGGGGGGGGGAGGGCGCATTAAGGGATATATATTTTGCACGGCAAGTAAGCGGTGACGTCACATCTGTGATGTCACCCGCATGCGGCAGCGTCACGCAGTGTGCCTGCTGACGTCACGCATCCCCCCCCCCCCAACCCTCCGCGTTGGCCGTGTATTAATCCAAGACAAGAATCCAAATCTCGGGCGAAGCCGGGTAGTAAAGCTAGTGTACCTATATATTTGTAACAATTGAGTTTATGTGCATGCGGTTAGCATTCCGCGTACACCCAACTCTGCAAATAGGAATGTGAGCGGCTCATTTTCAAACTACTTATTTACATTTTACGGTCCCTTTTCATGGCAATAGATTAAATTAAAGTCACTCAAGATTTGCTCGATTGCAAGACGCCCCCTGTTTCAAACAATGGTAGCGCTCGAATCACATCGCCTTTCTTTCTTGACAATGCGGATATTATTGACCCCCTTGCTGTAAATGCAAACATCTTCAAGCTGCAATGATGACTCACTGCGACTCGGTGAGACCCATCGTCTGACATGACCGACCACCCACTCTCACCGGCTTTCGACAACTCGTTACGGCTCTCTCGTAAACCTCCTGAAACAGGCCAGTGGGCAGAAACGTCGAGATCTCGCCTTCCTCTGGCGGTGACCGTGACAACGGAGGTGTTCTTTACGTGTTAACGTAAATGCCGCATAAATGTGACATTTGAGGCAGCGCGGTTTCGGTTAACGTTTTAAAATTTAAATAATGGCCGTTATTTGACGTGAAAAAAGACAAATGAACAGCACCCCGCGCTCATTCAAGTAGCGGAGACTGCATTTTATGATTTAGATAGCGTAAAGATGCCTCTGCTGAATGATTTTCATGATTTATTCAGGGAAACCTCCCCAAGTCTCGAGACTGCTTTCCATAAGGGGTATTTTTCTTCTCTCGTTACTGCGGCTGATGCAGACACAGATCAACGACTGTAATTTCACATGCAGGTGGTCAGGCCCAGATAGCCGTGTCAGGAGCAGAGCGGGGAGCGTATCGCAACTGATGTCTCCTTTGTATTTGTGTATCGGGCATCGAGCCGTTACACGTTCCGGATGACCCTAGTCGCACACTGGAGAGTTTTACATTTTCCATTTGTGCATCAGGTGTCCGCATCTGCCACGATTTGTGCAGTAGATGCGGTTTAGGATGGACCACGACCCTCGTGGAACATCAAACCCCAGGGATCTTCTGCGTTCGCGAGACTTTCTCCACATTTGTTTTTACAGAACGCTGCTCGGGCTGGCTTAGAGTAGGGATTATGGGAACAAGGCACTGCCACTATAGTACACTATACAAATACTTCCAACAATAATGATCCTACATGTATATTATTGTACCCTGTGTTGCCTATAACTCTATGTTTATAACAAAACAAAACTTCGGGCAAAAATCAGACGACAATGACGTGGCGTGCAAAGAATGATTGCCGGAACGGTCTTCCGGAGTGTTGGGAGTCAACAAGACATCTCTGGTCATACACTGCATGGGATTACACCACGGATTAGCACTGTTGTCGACGTACGGTGCGAAAGAAGTTCAACATTCCTCCATACACCAATTATTTTTCGGATGATGCTGCGTTGGCGGTTGCGCACAAGGCACGATTAACAACTCGACACATTCGTCAACAACCACACCGTGATGTAATATGTATGTAATAGGCAACATTCCGGGAAATTACCCCTTCTTCCTGCCATGTAAAGAAGGGTTATTGCCCGCGACGTGTTGAGTTGATGAACGCGTAGAGAGTTTTTTTTATTTCCATTATTAATCGTGCTTGTGCGTCACTGCCGTCGCAGTAGCAGCAGCAGCAGCTGCTGCACCATCTACACAATCTCCGTACATCAGCGTCCGCACGCGAATCTTCGCGTGATCCACCAACCACGGCCCCTAAACTACGACGGCGGATCTCGGGCGTGCGCCAACCCGCCCGGTGTCCCGGAGCGAGAGAGGCGGTGCCGAGAGGGTGAGCGAGGGCCCGGACAGCGTAGAGGGGCGTGGGAACATTGCGGCCGCTAATCGTGGAGATTAATCTAATCCACTACCCCTACCACCCCACGTCCCCCCCACCCCAGACCCCAGAAAATTAAATAAAGGAAGGAGCGATAAATAAATAAATAACACGGCAAGAGTGCAGGCCTCGCTGCGTCCCAGACGGGCGAGGTGTTTTCGGCTGACGAGGCTCTGGCGCCGGCAGCCCCCTGCAGCGAGCGTTAACCCCTTCAAAGGGGTTCCTCCCTCCAGCCCGAGCCGTTCCCTCTCCTCCCCCCACTCCCCACCTCCACAGCCGCCCCCACTCCCTCCCCCCCCCGCTGAGTTATTTGGCCGTCGTTAGGGGCGTCCATTCACGTGCCTCTGCGGGCAATTAGGCCGCTGCTGCTGGTGTTTTGTGCCCGCTCCGTGCGTCTGAATGGGCCGCTTTGCACAGGTTAATTACTGATCATGGGCGGCGAGTCCACCGCGCTGTGTGGTGGTGGATGTGGGTCCTTTAATTCAAGCAGGTATCGGAGGGAAATTGAGATTAGAGCGTGTTTGGTTGTGTTGCAACAGTGCGGTGGACATGGGGTCTTTATTTCGTCATGCGCATGGCATGACGAAATATATATTATCATAGTATGTTTTTTGTTTGCATTTTGACTGCAGGTATTGTGGTTAATGCAGACATGAATACTTGTAAAAAGGTTTCAGTTTTGTTGCCAGAAAAAAGGGGAAACCCCCTATTATTACATTTTGGTACTGGCAAAGGAGATCTAAATTTCGATTTAAAGCTTTCGTGACTACAATGATTCATCTTCTTTGGTTCTTTCGGTAAAGTCACGTAGAATTGTATTGTGTTATTTTATTTTATCAATTTATTATTTTATTCTCATTCTACGTGACTTTACCGAAAGAACCAAAGAAGAAAAAGGAGATCTAATGATGTAGATGCTCACCCCGAGCCCTCACTACTTTGATAGTGCATTGTCTTTGAGCTGTACGCCTTTTGGCGTCATCTGGTCGAGCACCAATTGGGTGGAGGCTCAAAAGAAAGCTGTCCCTTGGTGTGGAGCAATCAGTTTCAAGGACAATGCATATATTATCATAGTATTTCTTTGTTTGCATTTTGACTGCAGGTATTGTGGTTAATGCAGACATGAATCCTCGTAAAAAGGTTTCAGTTTTGTTGCCAGAAAAAAGGGGGAAAACCCTATTATTACATTTTGGTACTGGCAAAGGAGGTCTAATGATGCGCATGGGATTGTTCAGGGGCTAGCTGCCAATGTCGTGGTCTGCTTGCCGCGATGAGAGAAACCTTCAGGAGTAGTCTTGCTGCTCCTCCTCCGTCGAAGGAGTGCTGACTACGGTGGTTAACTATACGCTCCGTTATATTCTGTTTAAACCAGGTAATTAGAACGCGTGTAGAGCATGTATTGAAGGACACCTGAGATTCGCGTATGTGGTACTTTATTTGGCATGAGAGATCGAGCGGTGATGTAATTGCAGAGGGAAAAGTGATTGCGTTTCATCAATGTTCATTTTTTAAAGTTGTGTTTTGTGAGATTGCAACTTGGATCCGATGTAATGACACCCTCCGTGGAATGTAAATCCGCTTCTTTGGAGCTGTTTTTTATGTTCAGTTTGTTGTCCTTACCCCGCACCTCAGGTTAGCACAGTTGGCGACATACGGCGCGAAAGAAGTTCAACGTACATACCCACAACGGATTGCCCCTTGACCATGATGTCACGCGTTACAAATGGCTTGCTGTGTCGAACACATTCGCTCGTCGAGAACGATCTTCAGACAATCGTTTCAGGATCACTGCGTGTCCAGGCATGCCCCACGGCGGTTCGCAGCAAGCTTCATGAGTAAACATACTTTAAAGTTTAGATAAAGTCCGTCATTCTAAATTTGAAGCTTTCGTGACTGCAGGAATCCATACTCTTTAGTTCTTTCGGTAATGTCACGTAGGTAGAAAGAACCAAAGAGTAAAGCCCGTCATTGTAAAAACTCAAATTTTATTATCTTAAAACGCATTAGGTAAAACAAAAACTCTCCAACGTGCCACTGTGGTCATCCAGACCATGCAATGCATAACGATGCAATGCCCGATACATAAATACAAAGACATTACAGCGACACATTCCGCTGCTCCTGACGCTGTTATCTGGCTTAACCACTAGAACGTGAAATTGTAGCTGTTGGTCTGCATCTACATCAGCCATACGAAATAACATTATAGATAATAACATTATAGAAACCAAACATTATATATATATTTTTTATTGTATCTACTGACGTCACATACCTGCATATCTTACTTCCCAGTCACCTTCATCCACCTCCATCCCCCCCCTCCACATCGCTCTCTTCCCCAGTTTCCTTCAACCACCGTCTCTCTGCATCTCCCCCAATCGCTTTCTCCGTATTTCAACCTTTTTGTCGCTTAAAAGCTGAAATCGTTGAAGAATCCATTTGGGATCTCATATCACCGTTGAAACAACAATGTTTCCGTGAAAATAATGATGGTGATGATGATACATCCTTTATATATCCAGAAAGATTTTTGAGACTTTTTTTTTAGACTGAGTCTTGAGACTCTTTTTTCCCAAGACATTAAGAAGTTTGGTCAATTCTATGAATCCGTGTGGGAGGAAACAGGGGCACACAGAGAACACTCCACCGTGCCTACATGCATACGGAGGTCATTCTCAACGCTCCACACACACGTAGAATAAAAAAAAAATCCATCGTTATATTGCCATCCCCTGATCACTTCGGTGTCCACTATACAGCATCTGTTATTCCCAGGCAGACTTGCATCCTAGTGTAGAGATACGTGGAGACGCCTTGCCTGTTTAATCATCATGTTGGGCATAACGCCCTGAGCAATTATCGACAGGAAAGCACAGGAGACAGAGAGTATGAATATATGTTGAACTTTTTTCGCACCGTACGTAGCCAACCGCGCTAATCGCGGAGGTGCGAGTGTCGGAGACTTGGAGGCGCCTTTCCTGATAGTCATCATCTGGGAGCAAAAGCTCTAGGCAACGATTTGACAGACAAAAGAGGAGCGACCTCCGATTAGCACCGTTGGCTACGTACGGTGCGAAAGAAGTTCTACAAGTGGAGAGAGGGAGAGCAGGAGCGGAGTTCTGAGTGTGGAGTTACTGAAGCGTGCTGTCTGCTGTATGACCGATTTCGTTACCTGTGGGTCATCAATGAAGTGACATTTACTGGTCACAGCGTGAGCTGGGTCCCTTCACGAGTACTAAACACGTTTGGTGATGCTGCGTTGGCAGTGGTGGACCATAAACTAAAAACTGTACATTTGTCAATAACGCTGCAATAATTCAATAATACGTAACACGTGACGCTTCGGGCAACGACTCTACCTCATAGCACATGAAGGGTCATTCCCCGAAGCGTCGCACATTGTAGATGTACCATTTGAAGGCCACGCGGTGTTGTTGTATGACGAAAGTATCGAGATGCGTTTCATTTTAAATGCCGCCTGTGCAAATACACCACGTGACAATGCGCGCTCGCAAACCGCAGTGAGGGCTGTCGCGGAGTGAGAGAGGTGGCACATGCAGTGACAGGACAAAAAAATATATATTTATTAAAATACAATTTTAAATTCACATCTTGAAATATAAACGCGCATCGCACTCCCCATCAGCAACGTACCGTAGAAATATTATACAATATAAATATGTTATTAATTCGACGTTACGGAACTCGTATGACGTGAATAGTGCAATAGAAAAACCTCGCCAGGCCAGGTGACAATGTACACGTGATCAGCGGAGCTAAATCGGCTGGAGCGGTCGCGCATCGCTTTGCGCATTGCCACGCCGAAACCCCCTCAAACCCAAGTTCGATTCGCGGCCGCGGCTCTCGTGACATAATTCAGCGCCGAGTGAAACCTGAACCGGTCGTGGACCACCACCAAACTACTCAACAACCCCCGCCACCCACCACCCATCATCACCAACCGGCATTGTGAGGTATGGTCGAAAAGTCACGTAGGTATAAAATAAAATACGGAGTTTCGAGTGCAACACAAGCAATCATCATCATCATCATGTGGAAAACTTCGGCAATAATATTTTTCATTGCTGTGGTTTTCCCACCTGATGATGATTACTTGTGTTGCAATTATTTATTTTATTTTATACCTACGTGACTTTACCGAAAGAACCGAAGAATATGGATTCCTTGCGGTCACGAAAGCTTCAAATCTAGATTATGGTCGAAAACATATAACGAAAACATCCGCACAGCTGACACGGCGTTGATGGGCCGACAGTCAACCAACAGTTGAGCAATGGCTCGACCCGTGTGTTGTTTGTCAATAGATGTTGTGATCTCGTGTTTGATTTGCAGGCCTTGCCCAGCCCATTACGCTCTTGGCATCACGTGAATTGACGACGAGGATCCGTTAGGAACGCTCGCGAAGCAGTGCACAGAGATGAAAAAATACTGATCTAGTAGGTCCCCCCCCCATCCCACCGCGAACCCCCCCCCCCTCTCCCCGCATATTGCACATTTTTTTATGATCCCATCACGATCATCGTCATCTCCAGGGTTGCATCAGCCACCTTGAAGAAGAAACGAAACGGCTCTTCTCCGGCAGCTAACCACCCCGGTTATGTGACCCGGCCTGCCCCCGGCGAGAGTTCGCAGCTCCACGGGGAGGCAGACGTTTAAGATGCGTCTCTGTTGGTCGGATTCCTCCACTACAAATACATAAATATCCTGATCCTGGCCGTTATGTCGCTCGAGTGACGTCACGCCACTCAATATTATTCTCTCATTCCACCATCCACCTCCAACCCACCTCCATCGCTCCCGATGTCCTCCACACATCTCTCCCCCCCACCCCCCATCTTCATCTCTGTGCATCTCCCCCAATACATTGCTTAGTCTCTTCCCGTGTGCCCCCCCCCCCACCAATACTATATTTACATTTCCCCCCCCCCCATCTCCCTCCCATCTCCTTTGAGCTACATCGAAGGACTGCTTCGTTATTCACGTGCATTGCGGCCTTTCAAATAACGTTTTTTACCGAATTCAATATAAATGGCTCTTCATGTTATGTTAGTTGCCGACCCCTGGTCTACATCAATCTACTCCCATCTCAGACAGGCAGCAGCGGGAGCAGCAGCAGCAGCGGGAGCAGCAGCAGCAGGAGCAGCAGCGCTGTCCGATCTTGGGTTCTGCTCCCGTTGCTGCCCTTTTGACCCCGGCACTTTGGTCCGAGTCCGGGCTCCTAGTAGAGGAGCAGGTACGGGCAGCAGGGCGGGGCCGCGAACGCGGGGGGTGCTGAGAGGGGCGGGGCCCGAGCCCCCAGCGGCGCCAACCACGAGGCGAGGGGCGGGGCGAGGGGGAACAGCGGGGGGGCGGGGACGTGGGGGAACGCGCCCCCACCCCGCGCCCCCAACTCCTCGCGCTTCTGCTTCATGCGGCGGTTCTGGAACCAGGTCTTCACCTGCAGGGGGGCGGGGGGGGGCACATCATTAGATTATTGTCTTCAGGGTCACTGCCACAATGCTAAATATTATTTGTGTTGTTTAATTGTTGTGTATTGATGGTGGGAAGGGGGCAGTGGTGGGGCAGTGGTGAGCGAGCGCACTGCGCTCCGAATTCGGCAACCTGAGTTTGATTCCTGACCACGGCTCACATATTGGAGAGTAATATCCCTTCCGATTCTTGGTACTCTCCTTTCACCAAATCGTAGTGACCAGCGGCGTGGTGAAGTATGGTCAAAATACCCCCACGAACGGCACAACAGTGGAGACCGTGTGTACATTCCATGTACAGTCTCGCTTTCCAATTAAAGTTGGAGACACGCATTTTGCCCTGTCCATCTGTCCGCAACCCGCCCGGTGTGGACGGCACGATGAGTCATCATCTCTGCACGATGGTAACTCATCGTGCAGAGATGATCCACTGCTAACGTGCTGCTACCACGTGGACTGCACGAAGTCGTGACGATGACCATGATGACGTGTGCCCGCCTCCTCACCTGCAGGTCGCTCATGCCGAGCTGGCGGCCCAGCTCCCCGCGCTCCGCCACGCTGAGATATCTCCTGCGGCGGAAGCTGCTCTCGAGCTCCGCGAGCTGCGCGGTGCTGAACGCGGTGCGCGCGCGGCGGCAGAAGCCGGCGGCGCGGCGCGGTCCGTGGCGCGGCGCGTCTCCCTCCTCCTCCTCCGCCTCCTCCTCCTCCTCCTCATCCGTGACGCCAACGCTTGTAGCTGCTGCTGTTGCTGCGGGGCTACTGCTGCTACTGCAGGGCGCGGGGCTACTGCTTCTGCTCGAGTGCTGGGAACCTGCTGCGGGAAGGAAGGGTGGAGATGGAGATGAAGTTGGGAGTCGCGACAAATCCACGTTGGCGCGCGAGACGCGGACTCGCCACTCACGTGCGCGAGTGCAGCTCCTGATACCGGGTAAAATGACTCGAACTGGAAATGAGAATTCACAGCGTAGTTGTGACACGGCAGTGCGGCAAGTGGACGGGTCTGTACAGCGTACGTGCAATGGGGTGTACTCCGGGTAGTACGGTTTAAATCCCAAACGAAGCAAAACTGAAATTTGGCCAAACTTACCAACAATGCAGGACCCTTCTTAAAATAAGTCTTGAGACTCGGGGAGGTGAAAGACCAACTGAGGCCCACACGCTCAGTGCGCTCTCGCCTTGAATGTCATCCAAGTAGGTACAGCAATTGCCACCGACCATCCTTGAGACAACGTGAGCAATGAGTGAATGACGATGATCTACACGCGCGAGTTGTCCATCTCACCTGGGCTGCTGGGGCACGAGTTGGGACGAAAGTCAGGCGAGGTCGATCCTGCGCGCCGCTGTTCGTCCAACGATGACTGCGACGAGATGAAGAATGATGACGACGACGACAAAGATGATGATGACAAGGAATAGTATGACGACGATGACGACGACGACGACGGTGATGGTGATGACAAGAAGGAAGCGGATGGCGACAGCTCCCCAGCCACCGTCATCTGCACCGCTCCCCGCTCCTTCTCTCCACAGCTGAGGCCCGCCAGCCACTCCACCGAGGAGAACATGCTTTTCTTCATGGTAGCAGACAGATCCTCGCCGCTTGCAGGAGAGCGAATGAGCCCGGCTTTCGTGTGCAACGAGGCTCATGTACCCTTAAGGGGCGTGGGGTGGAGGAGGCGGGGGAGGGGGTGTGGGTTCTCGTGGAAAGGGGTGAGGCGCGGTTTAAGGGATGGTGGGGGGGTATTGCAGACAAGGTGGGGGCACCACGTTAGATTAGCGTATAATTAATCGGCTCGGATCAAAAGAAATTTGCCGGTAGGCTGATACCGACTGATTGTCAATTTCCCATCGCCTCTCAATGAATGCAAGGCGCCGTAGAGTCTGGGAGGGAGGGAGGTGGGGGAGAACCGGTGGGGGGGGGGGGGGTGCTACCCGGTGGCCTTCGAGAACAAATGCTCGTAATTACAACATTGACGCGACCCCTCTAATTCCACCGAAGCGCCACGTAAACTGGCGGCAATTAGCCATGCCTTTGTGTTCCTGGCCAAGGTTTCCCTCAGCCTCCTCCGCCACCACGACCCACGTAACTCTCGTCTCGAGAGACAAAGGAGGAGAGATGGAACACACCGAACACGTACACGTGCGCGCACTTGAATGCTTTGTTCGTAAATTCGATTTCCGAAAGTATTTAAAGGAAGGTCTCACTTAAAGAAAAAAAACATGACAAACAAGACAATGAAATACAGTCAATGAAATCTCTCATTTAAATAAACATTCACAATATATACTCTCTATAGAACAGATTGGCCGTTCCTGACAAATATAATGCAGCAGAATGATTTCAAGGAAGCGAACTCTGGGCCGGTTTCTACCGTCAGTGCTCTCTGTCAATCCACGACTGGATGCATCAACCATCACGTGAAATCCGGCCATCCTCACATCAGCGGCTTTTGGCTCGCCATCGAACAAAGGTGGTGGTCACTTCATCCTGCGGCGCATTCAGACGCGCTTCTGCGGCCGCGTGGAACTCTCTTCCTTCCGATATGAGGAAGCCACTGAGGACTTAGCCACTTTTAAATCATCTAGATTGAAAACTAATTTCTTTAGAACTGCCTTTTGTGCTCAGTGTGTTGCCCTTCCCCCGCACCTCCGGTGAGCACGGTTGGCCTTGTACGGTGCGAAAGATGTTCAGCATATATACACATAAAATGCCTCCCCAACGCGGTGTCGTATATCGTGGGGGGGGATGTTTAACCATATACTTCAACCATGCTTGCGAGTGCGGGTTGGTGGTGAAGGAGCGTGTGGGCCTGTACCGGTTCGGGTATCACGGCTGGGGTCCTGTATGCCGACGTTACAATTGGGCCGATGGCTCGAACAAGGTGGCTCCAAAACGAGACGGGAGACGATGTAAAATGAGCAACGATACACACGTTGGAGTAAAACGAATCGATAATTGACGGGTTATTTAGCGGTGCCGCTGGTGCTGCGTTGGGAATGATGCGCAGGCGCAGTTAACACGACCTAAAACACATTCACTGTGTGGCCTTACAAGGAAAATTATCTATACATATAAAGGCGACGTTTTGGGGCAATTGCCCTATTTCATAGTTCGATCCTATTTAAATCAATTATATTTTAAATTAAATATGTGCGCTGAAGAAGGGCCGAAACGTTTTCCTTTCAAGGGCACACACAGAGTCTTATTGACGAATACGCTGATTCTTTTCCTTAAAGGATCGATGATTGAACCCATTAGCGACAATTCCGATATATATAATTGGAGGTGTTATATCGAAACACTGTAATCGCCAGGAGCGTACACATCTACACCAGTTCCACGGACCAGAATCGGAATCCGATGAGCTATAAAGCTCTTTTTTGTTACAAATGTCCAGTCCGGGGCAGGTCAAAACGTGACACCAACAAACGATGAAAAAAAAACACCACGATAGGAGTGCAAAGCCTCGGGAAGGATAGAAAAGGCAGCATCGCACGGCAGGAACGATTCGCGGACACACCGCTTGAGAATCACTGAGCCGGGCCATCGGGTCGTTACTCGACTGCTGCTACTGCTGCTGGTATCGATGTCTCGCTGTTTATCCGTGGTAAGTGGTGGTCGTGACCCCCCGCAGAGCCCCCCCCTCCCTCCCTCCCCCATCCCGGCACCCCCCGCCGCCCCCCCTTCACCCGCGCCTCCTCATCCTCTTCGCCCGGCGGGTGCCCGGCGCCACGAGGCCATTTCCCGACTCACACCTTCCCCGGGACTCCGCCGCGCATCAAAGGCACCGCTCCTCCTCCTCCCTCCTCCCTCCTCCACCCCCCCACCGTGATAGGCGCTCGCTAACAATTAGAGCGGATTGAAGCGGCACCCCCGGAGCAGACGCATTACGGGCGAGAAGTGCACACGGACCACGTGTGCGTTTTAAAAAAAAGCGATGTGGAGAAGGGCTACTGCCCCATAACGTCGCCTATGATATTATTATTATTGTTATTTTTTTTTACGGCCGTGTGATTCAGGAATGTTCTGAGTGTTATTTTTTTTCAAACACCGTAGCTGAGCACAGCCCCAACAAAGGCCCTGAATGCCAAGCGGTCAGCAACAAGCAACGCCACTAAAATTGTACAAGCTAAGAGTCTCAGACGATTCTTGATTTGAGCAAAGCTACACGAATACGGGCAAAGTGACGAAGGGAAGGAAGTGTTGTGACCTGCAGTGTGGTGAGTGGGTGGATGAGTGTGAGTGAGCGAGTGGATGTATAAATGAGAGGATGAGCGAGTTGTCCTGCAGCGTGGTGGTTGGACACAGTGTAGATGAGACGAAACAGCCAGTGCCTTGTAAACCGAGTCCTCAACATGAGTAGAGGAATAAACGAGTGAAGTTCAGGGAAACAATCACCACGATAATAGCGATAAAAGAGTGATAAGAAGGCGGATGATCGACCGCCATTCAGTGAGTGACCGACCGCCATTGAGTGATTGCGTACGTGCAAACATGCCCCTCGCCCATCCTCTTTGTCTTCCCGATGCCATGATGTCTGATTGCTTTTTAGCCTCCCCCCCCCAGCTTTCTGTACACCCTCCAGCTAGGACCAGGCCTATCCCAACCCCTCCTCATCAACCCCTCTTGTTTTACTATCGTAAAAAAACTACAATAGCACTTACCATAACCCAATTCTTCAATTCAAATCATTATCAACCTGCTATGTACAATTTTATAATCCCTGTAAAGATATAATAACCATCAACCACGGTATATTCACTTGCGATGTAACAATGCAATGCACACGAGCTGATTCAATCGCTCCATCTCCCAGGCGGACGAAGGTCTCGGACGCGTTCCAATTCCTTGACTGCTACGCCGCTACTGTTCCTGACATAGTCGGCCAGCTTCCCTTCTAGTAAGCGATCGGATCTTCCCAGTTCCACTTACTTTCCTGAACAGTTTATAACATGCGGATGGTTAAAGACACCCTCCGATCAGCACGGTTCGGCTACGTACGGTGCGGAAGAAGTTCAACGTACGTATATGTTCTCTCGACCACGTGATGCACTTTGTCTCGCAATGTGATTCCACGCCCGCAATATCTCCAGGCTGATCTGCGCACCTTTTAGTTTGCGTTCAGTCCACATCTTTTTTAAGTGACCAAAATAAATGGGAGGCATTTATTTCAGTCCCATCTATTTGACTAACACGTGTGCAGTGTGCAGAAGAAAACTGTATCACGAATAAATTTGATTATGACCTTGCTGCGTGCAGAACGCAGCATGGGCAGCTCTATTGTCAATCCACTGCTGGATTAATACCTCCCCATACCGTGACGGTCATGGGAGGTTTTTTTGTACCATACTTCACCATCCTGGTCAGGGAGGTTAGAAAAAGAGGGGAGGTCCATGATTATAATATCACTCGCTAATGATGTTAGCCGCGGCCAGGTATCGAACAGAGGAGGCCAGGTTCTTGGCTTAATCCCTAAACCACTGCGCCACATATCCCCTTGTATAAACAAGCGAATGTGTTATACGGTGCCCCATAATATAGGTTGAGTGGTCTTGACAATAATATCTGGCAACCCACTAGCATTTGCTAATCAAGCGTAACTCTGGTGATGAGACAGAGAAGGTCAAAACCGGTCCAGAATCCATTGCTCGCTTAAATAAATGCCGATGGATAATATTGATCTTGAAAGCCTATATATGCCAATAGAGGAGACATATTTTTTCGTTTTAAATGTGTATACCTTTGAGGACACAGAACGAAGTTTCGATTTCTTTTACCCATATATTTATTTTACCTATCATATAGCGCTGCCCGGGGCTGAGGTTCGGAAAATACCACCTTACTTCTGCCGCCGGAAATATTACAATAGCAATAAAGCCACGTTCTTATGTGAATAAAAGCGGGTGCCACGGTGGCTAGGAGATGTTAACTACCTCGCCTGGTATACAGGAGGTCGTGGGTTCGACCCTGACGCCTGCTGTATATTTGCGGGTTGCATGTCTCTCCCCATGGTCGCGTGAATGTTTTGCCGGGTCCTACAGTTTTTTTCCTCCACATTTAAAAATATGCGTTTAGAGTATGTGGCTGTTATAAATGTCCACATTATAAGCCACTTCCTTGAGCTATTAATTATTTGTGAAAGACAGATCGCTTCAGAAAAAAAGAGCTATATAGCTCAGTGGGTCTTACTTGATAAAATTAAAAAATAGTTTTAGTTGATAGTTTTGTGTCGTTTACTTTGAGCTATATTCGATAGCAGTCCATTGAGACAAAGAATATCTTGTGAAGAGGGGCGGTTGTGTCAGTAACCGTGGTTCGTCAGACACACCGCAAACAAGAGCGGTAGTGCAAATATGTCGAGTGATCCATCCTCGCTCCGAATCCCAGCTCACACCCCCCTCCCCAACCTTCGCCAGCCAAGTCCCTCCTCGCGTTAAACAAAGAGAGTTTGTGGTGGGGATTCTCGTCTGGGCGTTAAGTCTCCGTAAACGACTACGTGCCAGTCGGGAGGAGCTAGGCGGGTGCCAGTTGCCATGAAATAACAAACGCGAGTACAAACGAATGCAGAACAATAACAAGACCAACAACAGCTGGGCGCAAAGAAGCATGCAGGATTGTGTTCCACTGAGATGTAGAAAGAGGAAAGCGCGAACGAGAGAACATACGCCGGTTAATAACAATCACACACACACGTACATTCAAACTGTTAAGAATTGTCAGCGTGGGGCTGGTCAG